GCTTCTGACGACTTCAGATCCCTTCTAGCAGGGGTGTCAAACTCAAGGCATCCGGCTTAGAAGTGGCCCGCGGGGCTGCCCTGCCCTGGAAACAGCGAAGGACTGGCCCATGGTGCGTCTGCCAGCGAAAATGGAGCTCCCGAGGGCTGTGTGTCTCCCGTCGTCATCCCCAGCTCCGTTTTTTGTGGCAGAGGGTTGCCATTCCAGAACCCGTTTTCGCTGGCAGAGCACCACAGGTGCCTCCCCCCTTCCTGACACAAGTGATGTCAGGCTGGCCGCGCCCACTACCCAGGTCAAACAGAACCTTCATGCAGCCCTCAGTGAAATGACACCCCTGCCTTCTAGCAATAGCACTTAAACTTACAGACCACCTCGCAGTGCTTCCCAGCCTTCCCTAAGCGGTTTGCAGTCTTAGCCTCTCCCAAACCATCTGGGTCTCCTCATTTTACCGACCTCAGAAGGACGCGAGGCTTGAGCCAGCCAGAATCGAACTTCTGGTGGTCCGCAGACTTAGCCTGCAGTACTGCACGCTTAACCCCCCCTGCGCCACCACATGTCATTGCAAGGGTGTGTGTGTGTGTGTGTCTGCAACCCGGCCAACTTGCGGACTTCAACTCCCAGAATTCCTCAGCCAGACAATGGGGCCCTCACGCTTAACACAACAACATTGTAGTCTTCCTGCAGTCACATGATTATGTCGAGGCCCTTGGCAACCGGATTGCGGTGATTGCAGCTTTATCCTGGGGGGGGAGGTCGTAACACTACCGTTTGTGATCTTTCCAGAAGCTTACAAGGGAAGCTGGGTTTGCTTAATGACCACAGGGTTCTCCTAACCGCAAGGATTCACTTAACGACTGTGGCCTGAAAAGGTCTTAATTGGGCACAATACCCACTTAACAGCCCCTCGCTTAGCAAGGGAAGTTTATAGTTTATTGTTGTTGCACTTGTACAACGAAATTAAATGAGCCAAGGTGGCGCAGTGGTTAAATGCAGCACTGCAGGCTACTGCTAGATCAGCAGTTCAGCGGTTCAAATCTCACCGGCTCAGGGTTGACTCAGCCTTCCATCCTTCCGAGGTGGGTAAAATGAGGACCCAGATTGTTGGGGGCAATATGCTGACTCTCTGTAAACCGCTTAGAGAGGGCTGAAAGCCCTATGAAGCGGTATATAAGTCCACTGCTATTGCTATTAAAGTGTACATTATAACTATGAAAATAAAACCAAAAACCACCCATCCTTCACGTTCTATACAATTGAATTGAAAACCCCTGAGATTTGCATTCATATTGCAGCACACAGTAGAATTCAACATAGTTACTGCTCTGGGATAGGAGCTGTTTTTCAGTTCCAGGCCCAATGATGGTTGCAAGGCAAGAGCCTCTATTGCAGCTTCCAGATCCAGCCTGGCTGGAGGGGATGGGGGCCCGTTTTGCGGTGACCTCGTGCCCTTTTGTCGCGTGGCAGTAGCCCTGTTCAAGGCAGCCCACATGCCGTCCCCATCGCGCCGCCCCCTAGATTTGCAAGCTGCTTACAAAGGCCCCGTTAGGGCTGAAGGAATTAAAAAGGATATTTAAGATGTCTCCCTGACACTTTTTCACTGCCCTGTTTTTTGCTTCCTGGAAAACTGCCCGATTCTCCAGTTTTTCTCCCTCTTCAGCGTTAGGATTACCCTGTCTCGGCCGAATCACCTATTTTGTTCTCTCTCCCCCTCCCCAAGTCAGCTAACCAAGCCCTGGGGGGGTGGGGGTCAGTCCCAACTTGCCTCTGAACCTCTCTAAGTGTTAGGCTTAAAAAGGCCCAGCAGCACACTGAGGATAACTGGTCGTCGGTTTATTTCAAGTAACTGATGCCTTAAATACTAGATATTTTGACCCCTGGGCCTTTTGCAAGATGTCTTGAGTAACATGGTGGTGATGACAAGGGTATTTCAGTCCTTTGTGCTGCCCCTTTAATCTGGCAAGCCCCTGGCTCAGCCCGCATGTCCGATGCCCTCCATCGTGGCCTTCGCCACTTCCTTGGGTATGAAGCAGCCTCCCTTCTCCAAACCCCACCCCCTCCCCCAAAAAAAATTCTTCACTCTGATTAAAATGCCTGCTGCATCAGGGTGTTTGGTTTTTTTTTTATAGCAGTTAGACTTATATATACCGCTTCATAGGGCTTTCAGCCCCTCTCTAAGCGGTTTACAGAGTCAGCATATTGCCCCCAACAACAATCCGGGTCCTCATTTCACCCACCTCGGAAGGATGGAAGGCTGAGTCAACCCTGAGCCGGTGAGATTTGAACAGCCGAACTGCAGAACTGCAGTCAGCTGAAGTAGCCTGCAGTGCTGCATTTAACCACTGCGCCACCTCGGCGAGCGCAACAAACTGTCCCTTTGCCCTGGAAATAGGGATCACTACCACGTCAGAGGCAGGGGGGAAATCCAGCAAATTCTGGTAGCGGAAATTTTGAGTAATTCGGAGAACCGGCAAATACCACCTCTGGCTGGCCACGGCCCCATCTATTCTCTGCCTCCTCCTGAGTCCCAGCTGATCGGGAGGGAATGGGAGTTTTGCAGGAACCTTCCCCTGCCACGCCCACCAAGCCATGCCCACGGGCAGGGGTGAAATCCAGCAGGTTCTGGAGAACTGGTAGCAGAAAATTTGAGTAGTTCGGAGAACCACTGCCACCTCTGGCTGGCCCCAGAGTGGGGTGGGAATGGGGATTTTGCAGTATCCTTCCCCTGCCATGCCCACCAAGCCACGCCGACAGAACCAGAAGTAAAAAAAAATGAATTTTACCACCGGTCCAAGGATGCCATAAACTCTGCCACCTGCTGATTGCTCTTTTGAGGCTCCACAGAGCACATTCTGTGCCTCCATTAACAACAAAAAATTGGCCTTATTTTAGAGCAGCGCTTTTCAAATCGGGCAACTTTTAAGAGGGGTGGACTTCCAGCCCCCCCCTCCCCCCCAAAAAAAATCCCCAGAACTTCTAGGATTCAAAGTTCACCTACCTTAAAGTTGCTTAGTTTGAAAAAATTATTAAAATTCAAGATGTATTAGAAAAACCCGATCGCCCCCCGATTTTCAATGTTTTAGCGTGCAAATCACACCACGCAACACCCCACCCCCCTCCGGTTGTCCTCCCAACCTCTTGGCGTAGCTTAAAAGGGGTCGACTGCACCCCAATTTGGGTTGACTCTTCTCTTTGGATGTAGCGAAAGCGTGAGAGAGGAAAATGGGGTGCTTGGGCCTTGGCTTGTTGCTTCGTCCACCCCCATCTCTGTCCCGTTGACAAGAGGGACAGACGGATTCTGGGTGTTATTTTTGGTTGGTGGTGGGGAAAGCGGAGGACACTCTCGGACACTCACTTAAAACGCACCCCGCGTTTCCCACAGCTTCCCGAGTGGCTTGACCCGGTTGAGTGTCGCAGGTAAACCAAGCCCGCTGTGGAGGCTTCCGGGACGGCCGCCTTGAGTGTCACCTGCCTCGGGGGAGGGAGAGGGCCTTGCCTCACCTTGAGCCCCCCGCTGTCTTTCCTGACGTAGGTGGTGATCGCGGCAGGGGCGGCCCCAGCGGCATGAGAGGAGGCCGAGGAGGGCTGATGGACCGCGGCGGCCCCGGAGGGATGTTTCGCGGCGGCCGTGGTGGAGACCGAGGCGGGTTCCGAGGAGGCCGTGGCATGGACCGAGGGGGCTTCGGAGGGGGCCGGAGAGGAGGCCCCGGGGGCCCGCCTGGACCTCTAATGGAGCAGCTAGGAGGCCGAGGCAGCAGGCGCGGAGGACCCGGGAAGATGGACAAGTAGGTCTGGGAATTTGGGATGGCGGAGAAGGGGGAGGGAAGTAGGATTCAGAGAGCTCCTTCCCTTCTAATCCGATTCCTTCTCTTTGTCCCAGGGGGGAGCACCGCCAGGACCGCAGAGACCGGCCCTATTAGCGGCCCGTGGCCTCCCCTCCTTTTTTTCCTGCTGGACTGCATTTACTACCAGATTTATTTTTTAAACCAGAAAAATGTTTTAAATTTATAATTCCATATTTATAATGTTGGCTCCAACATTATGATGATTCCTTGTCTGTACTTAGTATTTTTCACCGTTTGTGGAGAAACATTAAAACAAAAGTTAAATGGTAGCGTGCCGAGTTCTTCTTTATTCTTTTTTTCCCTCCCTTTAAAAAAAAATAAAATCCACAACAAAAACGAGAAACATGGTTGTTTAATTAAAAACTGGTTTTTGTTCTCTTTTTTTTCTTCTTTTCTTTTTCAAAAAAAAAAAAAGCAACTTTGTCGTGAGCATGCCCGGTAAAATTGTGATTTGAAGAGGTCAGGAGGATGGCAAAATTTCATGTAACAAAATGTTCGTGGTTGTGTGATGTTTTTTCTTTTTCTTTTTTTTAAATAAACTTCCAAATGTTTGTAAAACGCAACACTTTTGCAGCATGTCTTCAACACGAGCTCTGGCAGGATCTGTGAGAATCTGTTTGGGTTCTCAGGAAGACATGGGGGCGCAGCTGGCGTGACGCGCAGATCCTATTTTGCAACTCTCTTCTCTCCCCCCCCCTTGTGAAAAATGACCCTATGGCTGGGAGATAATTTCCCACATGCAAGAGTAAATTGAAGGTTTTATGAAGGTTTTATTCGACTTGTATTCCCGAGGGACTCAGAGCGGCTAACAAAACCAAGGGAGGGGAGGAAGGACGATACAAAAAGGAAAACCACAACGAAAACAAACAACAATACAAAACAGTCTTAAAGGTCTCAACACGCATACCCATTCGAGTAGGGGATGGGACTCATCAGCCCCAGGCCTGCCGGAACAGCCAGGTCTTGACGGCTTTACGGAAAGCCTGAAGGGTGGTGAGGGTCCGAATCTCCACGGGGAGATCGTTCCAAAGGGCCGGAGCAGCCACAGAGAAGGCCCTCCTCCGGGTGGTCGACAGCCGACATTGGCCGGCCGATGGAATTCGGAGGAGGCCTAATCTGTGGGATCTAATGCGTCTTTGGGAGGTATTGCACCAGATACCGTGTTTCCCCAAAAATAAGACATGGTCTTATACCCCCCCAAAAAATAAGCACTTGGCCTTATTTTGGGAGAGGTCTTATTATTTTTGAGGTGCAGGAGGAGGTGGCTGCCATGTTGCAAGATTTCGGGAAGGGTTTATGCGCTCAAAAGCCCCGATTGGGCTCTCTATCCGGGGAGGTCTTATTTTGGGGGAAAACAGGGTAGTTCTCGACTTTACAACCACTGAGCCCAAATGTTCTGGTGATTAAAAGTGAATCATTTGCTAAGTGAGTTTTGTCCCATTGGGCGACCTTCCTTCCCTCGGTTGTTGAGTGAATCCCCGCCGTCGTTAAGTTCAGTCACGGTCGCAACCTGAATCTGGCTTCCCCATCAGCTTTGCTTGTGAGAAGGTTGCAAAAGGGGGGGGGGGAATCACCAGGACTTTGGGACACAGTGACGGTCACAAATATGAGGTCCTAGGTCTCTTTTTTCCTCCAGTGCCCTTGTAACTTTGGTCACTAAATGAACATTTTGTAAATCACTTTTAAGACCTGGGGACTTCAACTCCCAGAATTCCCCAGCCAATATGGAGTTTTCAAGGACGTTTCTTAAGGTCGTGGGGGTGGAAGCTGCATAGCGAATGAGGCGGGAACCGTTCCCAGCATGGAGAAGTCGCCTCTCCCACAGCAGATGGCAGCACTTCCTAAGCCATCGCACCCCTGTATCTCTCCCTCTCCAGCATAATGAGCTCAGTGTATTGGCTGCCAGATGTGCAGCTGTGAAAGACTTAAGGCTGCCTTGAATAAAAGGAGCCAACCGTTTCCAGATGCCAGAATCGGAAGTCCTGGAACGTGTCACATTTGGAAGATCGGAACAAAAGGAAAACCGCCCCAGGATTAGGGATTTCAGCCTGGCGCCCGAATCGAGCTGAACATCTCCAATAAAAAGCCCCAATTGGTTAGAGAGAACCCTTGAGGTCATCAAGCCCAACTCCAAACATCCTAAGCTTGGAAGGGACCTTGGAGGTCTTCTAGTCCTGCTCAAACAGGAGAACCTATCCCCTTTCTGTCCAGTCTCTTCTTAAAAGTGCACCCATAACTTCTGGTGACCAGCTGTTCCACTGGTTAATTGTCCTCGCGGTTAGGAAGTTTCTCCTTCGTTCTAAGTTGCATCTCTCCTTTGGAAAATTTCCATCCGTTGCTTCTTGTCCGGGTGCTTTGGAGAGTAATTTGCCCCCCTCTTCTTTGGGGCAGCCCCTCAAATACCGGAAGACGGCTATCACCTCACCTTCTAGTGACGATTGTCCTCTTTCCTTCCACCTTTCCTAGCGTTACGGACATCTCCAGATAGCCAGATCTTCTCCATAATATCCGAAGCAGGTTCATTTCAGCCTGACCATTTGTGTCCCAAGTGAGAAGACTTCAGTGATCTATTGGTTTATTTTCCTTGGTGGTCTACGCTCCAGGTCCTCAACAAGTCTTCTCCAACACCATCGCTCAAGGTCTACTCCTGCTTCCATCAAAATCTCTAATGTCAACTTTTCATCAAAGGCAAATAACTCGCTCTCTTTGATAATAAGAAAAATAATTTATTTGCAAGGCAGAAAACCGGATTCTGCATCTCCCATAGATCGATGAGAGCCATCAATGATTGGCTTGACTTGTATTGAATTGAATTGAATTGAATTGAATTGATTTTATTTGTAGGCCGCCCTTTTCCCTGAGGGGACTCAGGGCGGCTCACAGAAACCAGGGAGAGGGGAATACAATACAATACAATACTAAAACAACAACACATAATAAAATAATACACAACATGCATACAACATTCGGGCGGGGCAATGGTCCTTATCCCCAGGCCTGACGGGCGAGCCAGTTCTTCAAGGCTATGCGGAAGGCCTGGACGGTGGAGAGGGTGCGGATCTCTACGGGGAGCTCGTTCCAAAGGGTCGGGGCCGCTACTGAGAAGGCCCTCCTCCTTGTGGTTGCCAGCCGGCATTGGCTGGCCGATGGGATGCGGAGGAGGCCTAACCTATGAGATCTTATAGGCCGTAGGGAGGTAATTGGCAGAAGGCGGTCTCTCAAGTATCCAGATCCACTGCCATGTAGGGCTTTATGGGTGGTCAATAGCACCTTGAAGCGCATCCGGAGATCGACAGGTAGCCAGCGCAGCTCGCGGAGGATAGGTGTAATGCGGGTGAATCGGGGTGCACCCGCGATCACTCGCGCGGCTGCGTTTTGTACTAGCTGAAGTCGCCGGATGCTCTTCAAGGGCAGCCCCATGTAGAGCACAATGTTGTAGCAGGGGTTGGCAACCATAAACACTCAAAAGAACCACAAAGGTCCCAACCGGAAGCCCCCACCCTCCCCAGTTCAATTCTGGAGCCAACCAGAAGTCTGGTTCCTGCACCATAGAGTCTCCTCCTAGCACGGCTTCCTTTTTCCTCTACCTTCCCTAACCAAAAGCCCTATAAATGTTGGAGCTGACCGGAAAGCCCTCCCCTTACCTGAGAGTCTTCTCCTGGCGCACTGTGCTTCCCTGCCCTAACAGGAAACTCCTCCCGAAATTGTGGCACCGACTGCCGACGGGGAGCCGCAGCAGAAGGATGAAAGAGCCACATGCGGCTCCGGAGCCGCAGTTTGCTGACTCCTGGGCTAGAACAGTGCACATACGCACCCGCCGATCACAGAAACCCAAAGGCCAACCTGATCAGCGTGTGCATGCCTGTTTTTTTAGCCCTTTATGGCCATTTTGGAGGCCATTTTCCAGCCGAAACCAGAAGAGCAGCTGGCGATGTCAGACGTGCCCACAGCGAGCTCTCCGTGCCGCCACTAGGCTAGAAACTGTACTTTCCAACGTTTCGGGCTTTCATAGAAATGCCGCTGGCAAATTATTTCCTAGAATCTGGGCTGCCGCCTCGCCCTCTTCCCTGTCCTGTAAATCCCCTTTTCTTTTGTTTTCAAACTTTGCCGTGCGATTATGACTCAGCTAGTGACAAAGCAGAGCGGAGGGACGTGAAGCTGCGAACTCTGTGATTTTGCAAAATTGGATCGCCGGACCCAAAAGAATCCGAATACAAGAGGAGGGCTAGGCATTTTTCCCCCCCCTTTTGGGTACCAAACTGGTTCCGGAGACCAATTCTGAGGGTAGACAAGACTTAAAAGGATAACTTTTTTTTTAACTCTGATTCTGGCTCCTTTTCTCTCTCTTTCTTCTTTAAAATCCCTCTTTCCTGCCCTCCTCTTTTAGAGATGAAATGTTCTTTTTTCTTCCCAAGGTCTATTCTCACGGTTTCCAGATGGGGATGCAATCAATTCACACCCAAAACATATTTTTATGCTTTAGGAACTACCTTAATAGCTTACAATTATCCTCTCTTGGCTTTGTTGTTGTTTTTTTCTCTCTCCCAAAGTTTTGTTTTGTTTTTCATACACCAAAATAAACAGAACCCTTTTTAAAAAAATCTATTCCTGCCAATAAAATTATATAGACGTGGCCGCAAACTCACCGGAGAGTCAGTCAACTTTGACTTAAAGGAAACTTTTGCATATATCATTTTATGGTTGATGGCTTATTTGCTTTCCTAATCTTTGCTCTCTGCTCCAATGGGACAAACAATCATGTTTAATCTATTGTCGTAAAAAAGTTAACTTTGCTCCCGATCGCTTCTCACGTGTTTATCCCGTGCAGCAGAATATATATTTACAAGATGCCACGAAATCAACAGAGACGGGCAGAGTCCTGGGCCAGAAAATGGGGGAGGAATAAACTCTGTCTTTGTCCAAGAAAAAATTATAGCAGACAAATATATCTGGCATCTGTCAGAAATGGGGTAGGGTCTCCTGCTTGGACAGGGGGTTGGACTAGATGACCCATAAGGTCCCTTCCAATTCTGTTATTCAGGAGTTGTGGGAGCTTCATCCCTGGAGGCTTTCAAGAAGAGACTGGGCTGCCATCTGTCAGAAATGGTGCTTGGACAGGGGGTTAGACTAGATGACCTTCAAGGTCCTTCCAACTGTTCTTCCTTCCTTCTTTCTATTTCTATTTCTATTCTATTTCTATTTATTGAATTTATAGGCCTCCCAATCCCGGAGGACTCCGGGCGGCTTACAGAAATAAGAAATATTTAAAAGATTAAAACAAATAAAACACAACAAATTAAAAGAAACACAACATGCACCCANGGAACGGGGCGAGAAACCCACCCCTGAAGCAGTTATATAACTTCTTATAACTATTCTTTTATGTTTGCCTTTTTATCAATTTAAATACATCTTCATGTCAAATGGCTTTACTCAGTGCTATTTACTTTGAAGTTTGTCTATACTAATCTTTTCTCATATGATATAGGCATGCAATCCAACCATGGAGATGCTTCAAACATCATATCTCTGAAAAACGGTCATAAGTCTCTTTTTTCAGTGC